TTGCAAAGCTTTGACATGCATCAAGAATATCTTTGATGGTTTGATGATATGACACTTCTGAGGGTTTAGACAGAATACTGAAAGGTTACAATGTGCTTTGAAGCACTGAACATAATTCATGTGAAGAGACAAAACTTTATAAATTAAATCACTAAAGAAAAATGTTTTACTAGAGAAGATACCACTAGACATTTTCTATCTTGTAATAAAAGGTTACATTTTGTCATCAGTCCTGTTAGAAGAGGATAGTGAAAATTAGTTTTATGAGTTAGTGAAAATCATAAGGGACTTCCTGAAAGCATAAAATAGTACACCTACTACAGTGGTACACTGTCAAGGCACAAATAAAGGCATGCCATTATTGATGGACTAAATCACAATGCATTGTTTCTAGTGTGTGACGGTCTTCGGTAATAAAAATGAAAGAACTGTAGCTGTGGTGAAATGCAAAATAAAGTTACAATGAGATGTTTATATTTCATATCTTATAATTAATTTGCACAAAGAATCTTTACAAGAGAAGAACTACAAGTGAAAGGCTTAGTTGTAATCAATATTCCTATGTTAAACAATGTCACTTAGTATCTTAAAGACCATTTGTAACATTCAGCAGTCGTATGTTTAATCATTATCAAAGAGTTCAGATGAGGTTTAATTAGCATAGTCATGGTGAATTATTGACAAACATAATGTAAATTGAACTAACATAAATATAACATGAAAGTTAAGTTTAGGCCCTGATCCATCAAGTACCTATCTATAAATTCTCTGTACATGCTTATCTGTTGCCCTTCTAGCTTTCTGCTACATATCAAGTAGCTATTATTGTTCCTTACCTGTATATTGTTCAAAAAGCATATAAACAGAATCATTCAAATTGCTACATTTTTCAGTGGAGAAAAGGGTTCCTTCCTGCAAAGGGTTCCTGAAAATAAACCTATTTTCCTGTTTGCTGTTTCCCTGTCCTGAGCCAAAGATGACTGAATCCCACATCTCCCAGATTCAAAGAAAATGCCCTGAGTCATTTTTTTCTAGACATGACAAAGATTGTACAAGCAATGGAAACATCATTTCTCCCATACTTTGACTTTTATTATTGTGTTGTTAATTCTGTTATACTAAATTCTAGAGGCATACTTTTTTTTTTTTTTTTTTTTAAGAATTGTAACAGGGCAGCTCTGTGCCATAGGCTGGTCATGATGGTGCAACCAGCCAGGCACTCTGGTAGCATTGATTTTCACAACACTCTCCCTTCCCTCCAAAATGGGCTTTCAGAGCTGCTACTCTGGTCACCCACCCCTGCCCCCACCCTTAGGTATGCTACTATTCTATAATGAAACCTCCCTCCATAATAAAAATACCCTGCTGTCAAAATCATGAATTTTAGTGGAAAGGATGTACTTGTAATATCTTTCCATTGATGGCAATAGAACATACTGTACTCATTGGCAGGAAGGGACTATTCAATTGGCAAGTTTGCTGCTAACTTTATGGATAATATACTGAGATGCATTGGATCAGAGAAAATATTTCTAAGTAATTAAACCCTAAGCAGAGACCTGGTTAGCTCTGTTAGTTTGAATTTGCCAGAAGGTAAGGTAGGATGGCACCTTAGGGCACCTACACACATGCCGGATGCCTGCTCCAATGAGTGCTAATTAGCATACTAGGAGCTACTTAGACTTGATTAATCAAGTCTTCTGTAGCGTGCTAATTAGTACACTCCAGCAGCCTCAGTGTCACGTGCATTTAGTGTTCCTGCACTTCAAAGTGGTGGTGGGGGTGCTTTAACTAAACCTTGTTCAATGAACTTTAGTTAAAGCAGCCCTGCCACCATGTTGAAGTGCAGGACCCTGAATATATAAGACACTGCAGGCACTTTAATTAGAGCAACTCCCAAGAATTGCTCTAATTAAAGTGCCACCCCCTCCCTTATTCTGGTGTGTGTGTAAAGATGCCCTTAGATTCTAAGGGGTTCAGAAAGGCATGAGCTTTTGTAGGCTACAAGCTATTTTGTCAGATACTATGAATAGTCCATGGCATTTATGCTATATAATTTAACCTATGAGACTTTATACAGGCAAAATTAAACAAAGCACTAGGAAACAAGCAAGTAAATCTCATTTAATCAACAGAAATTTTATTCTGTGTTTGCCTTGTATATTATAAATATATGTACAATTTATAGTTTTCTAGCATTTTTATTACTGGTTTTGGTGAAGTAGAGCAGAGGGGTTTGGTTTGTTTGTTTTTCAATGTCAATTTTTTAAATATTACTGGATATAATTTTTTCTTGATTTATTTTCTATGTTGATAGTTTATTAAAATTGCAGTTCACATAAAAGTTTTGAATTTTATATGTATCTAGTTTACTTTTTTAACCTGTTTTAAGAAGAAGCAATTGGAATAAAATGAACTTCCAGGCTAGGGACAGATATTCAAAAAAGAGTGAGCCTGAATTGATTCAGTCTTTGCAGGTTAGTGTAACCTTGCTAGGCTAAATCAGTTTTGTAACCAGACAGACATCCCAGAAATGCAGGCACATGCCTATAGTGGCTCAGGCTAGAAGATGAGGGGTGCTAGAGGAGCCCTCCTTTCTCTTCCACAGGGCTCAGCTGAGCGGGGAGTGGCCAGGCCCTGGCAGGATGCTGTGATTCCCTCATTCTTAACCAGCCCCACAGGGAATATTTATCACCCCTAACTCAGTGTTTACCAACCCATTAAGAAAACAATAGAGGAAAATAACCAGCTATCTGTTGATTCTGCCTTTGTCCTATGTGCCACAGCTCGGTGGCGGCCAGCAAATGGTCTGCTAGCTAAAGCTGGGAGGTGTCTGTGAGGGATGGGGCAATGCCTACTTAGCAGAGAGTGGGGAAGGAAGCGAGGTGATCGGGAGGTGTGGGGAGCAGAAGCCAGGGAAACGCCTGCAGAGACTATGGGAACTGCAGCCAGGGAGCAGAGGGGAGGGGCCAGCCCTGCTGTGGAGCAGAGAGCCCTGCCCAGCCCACAGAGCATGGCGGGATGCTGGGGATGTCCGATTTAATTTAAACCAGCAAGTGGTTGGGACGGACATTGCATACATTAGTTTGAGCCAAATCAGTTAAGTCTGATACTACATTCAACCAGGTTTATCTCAAATCAGTTTCAGCCATTCTCAAACTGATTTATGTGCACTGAACATCTGTTATTTTATGGGTTTAAACCAGTTTCTGATCACTTAAGCCGATTTATGTGTAATGTCTGTCCTTAGTCATAGCAATCACAGTAGGGTTTATACATAGCTGCTGTTATTATGCCCTGACCTCCCATTCTGAGTACAAATGTAGGAAAGGTAAACTTCAGTAGACCTAAATATGATATCCTTGAGTTAATTCTTTAAGTATTGCTACAGTATTTGGGGGCTTTTAACAGATACTATTTAGCTGGAATGTTTAGGGATGGAACTACAGGGGACTTGTTGGCAGACTGTTGAGATGCCAAATCTTACTAAAAGCTTGCTGTGGAGTGGAAGGGAAAGACCTGTGACTGTTTTTCACAACAATATAATGCAAGAATTGAAAGAAAACTTGGGTTGTAATATAGTCTGCTCACTAATATAGTCTGTTCACTTCCTGCTAAAAGGAAAAGCAGCAGCCCTTTCCTTTGAGTTTTATCTCAAAGTTTGGTTAAAAAAAGCTGCTTAATGAAGAGTGCACTGATATTTCTCTTCCTCCTAAGGCTTTTAGCCCCTTCAAAATAAATGATTGCATGGGTAGGACAAAATTATTTAATTTTAGTTTTTATGATGTGTCTTACAAAAGAGTATGCTCTGGTTGATTTTGATTTTGATAACCCTTCTAGTGATTAAATATTAGTTTCATCTTATGCTGTGCAGCTGTACCAAACATCTCTATTCCATGTGCTAGAATTGTTTGGAGTTTTATCAAATTTTGCTCTTTGAGTAGGACAATGGCTGGATCTAGAATTTTGAAAAGGGAGTGTGCTGATGGTGAGGCGCATCATCCCATATAAAACAACATATATTTTACTTCAGTTAAGAATAAATTAGAAGCTTTACTAATACGCTAGGGGATTAGGCCTGTATTATTCAGTTTAAGATCTAAGCACAAACACATATAACTTTGTTGGAATGAATGAAGAACAATTTGCAGGACTGTGAAATAGGCTCTTTATTACCAGGAGTAGTGAAGAACCAGACGAATTGTAGAGGATATCTTTACTGGTGGAACATTGCGGTCATTAAAAAGGAGAAATGAAGAGTTTAAAAGGCATTGGGTAGGCGAGGGTTTTAGGCTGGGATTTCTGTCAGAAAGGTTAAAGAGGGCAAATGCATCTGGGTTTACATGACATAATACAAGAATGGAAAGGGAGAACCAAAACTAAATGGGAAGTGGCAAATGAGGGTAGAGAATCTACAGGACATCAAATGTACAAGATAAGTTATTCAAAGAAATGGAATTCATAAACTCCTTTATTGGCTTCATCACTTTCAATCCATATAGAACTTGATCTTTGTGTAGTTTACAAATACTTTATGCAGTTTACTTAATTTTATTTTTAGTTTTGCAGTGGAATTATCTTTTTGTTAAAATGAATATTGCTTGCTCTACATACCTTTGTAATATGTACTAAAATTCACATACATACTGCATGGAAGCCTATTTATGTTGCATAGGAAGACTCTACCAATTCCCTCTGTAGTCATTATGCTTCTTCCCTCAGACCACCAGATGGCTGCTTAGGTGTAACAATAACAGCTGTTCAATACTACATGTCGACCATGAGATCCAAGAACTCTGAAGTCAGTTGGGTTGCAGAGGTTTAAAAATAATAGCAGAATTTAAACTTTTATCTTTTGCAAAGTGTTAATTATACCTTGAGGTAAATGGCAGACATTGCCAGAAATTACTGTAAAACTTTTTTATCCTTTTTATATTTAATAATCTGGTTTAAGATATATCAGCTGTGTTTTTATTTATTCTGAATTGTTTATTTTGTAGACATATATCCAGAAACACTAAAAACTAGATGAAAGGACAGAATACCCTCTGGATTTTCTTCTCATGTGAACAGTACACTGGCTGAAGTATTCAATCAGTTTATAGGATCAGCTAACTGTAAGTAGTTCTGAACAGAATGCAACATAATTCATAAATGTTTTTGTGTGACTGGATAATTTAATATTCTTCCAGAGAAAGTGTCCCTTATGCTCATGCTCTCACAAAATGTTTAAAGAAAATGTTGGAAATATTTACTGATTTTATGTTGTCCAAGGAATTTTCTGACATTGACCAGACTTTTAAAAAGTGCTCAACACCAGGGACATCCACACGTTCATTAATGTGCCTTAGATACTTCACATTTACCGCTTCACAGAGGTTTACTAGTTCATTAATAAAGGACTAACTCAATGCTCAGTAGCTACAATTACTGTGCATTAGCACTGGTGCACAGTGAATTAGTGATGCTTCATGCACATTAGCTTAGTAATACTGCGCAGTAGGCTATTAGACAGTTTGTGCTCTAACGCTCTGTTGTGCAGTGTGATTTGGCCAATGTGCAGTAAACATCCCATGTAGACACATCCACTGATTGTTCTGAAAATCTAGTTTTATTCCTCTGTTCGTAGGCTCTCCTCCATAGCCTACATTAATCTGTCTTCTGGAAGAAGGAATTAAAAAAAAAAAATCCGCGAACAAAAGGAAGGAGGAAGTAATGGTGTAACCGCTATGGGTTGTGCAGGGAGACATATTGTCACAAATTCGCCTGGCTATCATCCTGTTCCCATACTTCTTTTCTTATGGCTCTAGAATCACAGTCTCATCTCTGCTCATTTAGTATTGAGTAGAATCACTATATGGAAACTAGAAGTAACCAATATGGTAAATACCCAGTTATTCTTCTCAGTTACATGCCCTTACATGCTATCTGAATGTGTAGAAGAGGACATGTTTGAAATGGGCTCAGGAGAAAGAAAAACTGTCCTGCCTGGTAAAAGTATAAACTGAACTTGTGAGAGCAACAGAGCAACTGAGTTTTTTATATGTGTTTTAAACTGAATGTTGCTGTAGTGGTTGAAGACAAGATGGAAAGAAGTTCATTTTGCTTACCAGAGTGAATTTGATGGACATTTTTTGGCGTTACTCTGTAGCTGAACTTGATTATTTGAGTTTTGAAGTTCTGGCTGTTTTAGAGGTTCTTGTTTGGGTGAAAGAAATGTTTTTTCTGGTGCACTGTATGAAAACATTTATTATTATAGTAAGTACCATGAATCCTATTGATAGAAAAAAAAGGTGCATCTTAAATATAAGCAAAACAAAACAAAAATCTTACTTCCCACATTTATGATGGAAATAAAACTAAACATGATTTCTTGAAATGATAGAAACATGTAGATGTATGAATTCATATATTTATAAGACTTTGATATAGCCCGGGGGTGACCGTATTTATATTCCTAAAAGCCTGACTTCTGCAGTAAGTGAAATGCAGACATTTTCCTCCTTATTAATTGGAGTTCTCTTTTTGAAATGACTGTATTAGCTAACCATGAAAACATGAGAATTCTGATTGTGTTCTATATATTTATTCTTTTTTATCCCCGCAGGGTCAAATAGATCAGTATGTTTTCAACCCTTAAATCTCTTTGTCATCTAAAAATATTTCTGCATCTAATGAAAAATGTTCAAACTTCTTGAATATGCAGTATTACTGCAAGTTACTTTTTCAGGATTTTTTGCTTAAAGGTGACTTTTAGAATGATCTGGGGATTGTAGTTTGCCATCTGTTACCTTAATATAAAGTATTTTGCTATTTTTTTAAATTCTCTATACATTTCCATTGCATTCATAAGGGCTCCCCCCCCGTTGGCTAATTTAAAGGTGCATGACCTTCACATGAAAGATAGTCTGCATTTCAAGCCCTTTTCAGGTTGGATACTCAAAATTGAGATCCCTAGTTATATTCATAGCCCTAACGATCACAATGGGGTTAGAGGGAGTCGTTGGGGACCTAATATGCTTACTGATAAAATTCTTGCAATGTCTTTGCACAGTGAGCTGAGTGAAAGAAGCAGAAACCTCATTAATCCTCAGCATTCCCTTGTTGCTTTAGATATATTTGTAATACTCTAACATGCTGTAGCTTTTAACCTGTTTTTTAGGCAAATGACTTCTTTAGTGGAAACCGTCTGTGTGCATGACGTAGCTGACGTTCATACTATAAAGCACAGTTCAATTTACTTGAACATGGAAATTGGCTCTTTTATGAGTCACTTGTGCATGACTAGTACAGCAATATTCCATATTATAATTTAGAAAGCCTAGAGTAATTGAAGTATAGTAATATTGAAAGAGGATGTCCATTTCATTTGTTTCTGTGAAAAATGATCAATTTTAATTTCCAAAATTTTAGTACTAGAGTGACTTTCTCAGGAAGCTGAAAATATTCCTATTAACAGTAGTGACACTAAAACATAGAACATCAAAATTTGATCTCTTTGTAAAAGAAACAAATAATGAGATTAACTTGTGAGTCACTGTTAAATTTACGTGTAAGGTAGAGGAAAAACAAAAATGCGTTATGATAAGTTTTTGTCAATTTGTATAATTTTTTAGTTAAGCAGTCGTAAATCAAAGAATAGTCTATTTTTTGAGGCTCATTAAAGAGGCATTATGCATCAGAATAGTGAGGCAGTCAGCATAATGAAATGATGAATGCCTATAACTATCTGTATGTAAATGATGTGAGACAGATTTGCTGGTGCTACAGAAGAGAATAACAATCTATTTGACGGTTCCCTGTAGGTGCTACTTCTGGATACAAGTGACAGATGTTAAATGTAAACCTCTTCAACAGCAAGCACTTATTAGCACTCTGTGGGGGAAAATGGCAATATAGAATAAGACAAATAGCAGATAAATGCCATTTAAATAACTTTGTTCTTACAAAGCTTTATTGTCATTTTTTTGAAAGTGTTGAATCCCTTTCCACTGACAAGGGTCAGGTGTTTGAGGAAACATTTTCAAATTGAATACAAAAGACTATTGATTGTAGTGTCTATGTTTAAAAAAAAATTAACTCAACATCATTAGGAAATTTGGTTGAAGTAAACAGTTAATACAAAGTAGTCACTCTCCTTTTGATAAGCAAACAAATAAGGATTTGAATGAATTAATTTTTATATTTGAAATTATTTAAACATTTATACCATCATTATAACTCACATTTCAAACTATGAGCTTTGTTGCATGTTAAATTTAGGATGTGTTTTATTTTGATCATGCTAAGCATTACTATGAGTTAGAAAGTTTTCTGAGCATTCACATGGTAATGCTTACTGCAATCAAAATAAAACATGTCCTAAGTGCCAGAGCCTTTGAAGAGTCTGTTGCACTTTGGGCTGGGACCAACAAACAGCTGTTTGTAGGTCTCTGCCTCCCCACCGTACAAGAGCCAGTTCAAGACTCCAGTGTAGTGGGTGGGCTGGGACTGCCAAACAGCTATTTGTTGGTCCTAGCTCTTGCAACACACACGAGTCCCTCTGGTGCTATGGGATGACTGGGGCGGATAAACAGCTGATTGTCAGTCTCAACATACCCACTGCACTAGGGCTGGTTCAAGACTCCGATGTGGTGGGCAGGATTGTGACCAAAAACAGCTGTTTTTCGGTCTCAGGATCAGAACCGTACTGGAGTCTCCTGATCCTATTCCTCCGTGGAGCAGTCAGATTTTAGCTCAGCACGTTAGGTAATACAGTCTGGGGGTACGCATTATCAGAAAAGTCCTATGCTACGATGGCACTTAACATTTAAGCACTAAAATATGTGCTCAGACACTAGTGTTTTAAGTGCAATTATGTGCTAAGTGTAATGTGTGACAGGTGTTTGCTGTTTGGTATCTGTATTTGATTATTTTAATCACATTTTTTTCCTCATGTTTACTGACAGTTGCTGTAATAGAATTAGGCATTTGATACTTCTGGAAAAATAGTGGGAGCAGTAGTGGAGTGAAGAAAATGGGATTAAGTAATATTTAAGATCCTTTCATACTTTTATTTTTAAGTCACTTGGTTCAAACCTAGCCTGAGAGACTACTGCTAGAACATATAAAATATTTAAAATTGTAGGCTGGGAAAAACACACAGTTTGCCGATGTATTTCTGAAATAGAGATTAGCACTGAAGTAGCTGAGGAGTATCAAATTCATTTTCTGTCTTCCAAATATGTTGTAATAGACACAGTCTTAACTTAATTTGTCTATAATGTGAGGCCTAATGCAGGTAGTGAAGAAACCATATTAGTGGAACTGCAGGCATATAGCATTGATTCTTCGGATTTCCAAAACTTGCTTAGAAGCATTTTTAATTGTATTTAAATGTCAATCTGTTCTCTTTTTCTAAATGGTTAACAAAACTAGTGTTGAAAGGGGGGAGAGAGAAACTAAACAAACAGGAAGAGAATTTTTTGACAGATACCTATGTTTTTAGCCTTCTCCCTCTCCTTGCCTGTTAGTATTTAAGATTACGTAGTTCTGCTTTCTTTCTGTTACCTTCTGTCAAGAGCTACCGCCTTGTATAACTTGCATAATCCTGTTTAGAAGCATGAGCTTCAGTGTATCCTTGCAGATTTGTAATCCATTTTCATGGCTTTAAATTATCAGCTATCCATACACTACATGCCTGACACTACTGGGCAGATTTATTGTTCCCCTGGTTATCATGTTTGCTAATTTGTTTCTTTATTGCTTTGCCTTGTGTTAAGGAGTGTACATCCTTTCCCCTCTGAAATTTTAAAAGACAGTTTGAGTTCATCCCATACATCATCTCCCTCTCCCATCCCAGCAAGTAATTCAATATGTTCTGACTCTGTAAATATATCTCTCTCAATGAAATTATGATGTATACATTTGTTTAACAACCTAATTATTAAGATGTCATCGTCATATAGATCCTGATTTATGCCCATAAAGATTAGATGCAGGCTCAAGAAAATATAATGTAAACATTGCACTAGAGTCAGGCCCAGGGACAGAATTAAGGCAAATAGCCTATGACTTTATTACATTTTCTTCTCATAGACTAACTCAATTAGAGATACATAAGCTTTAGCATAGCATA